ACCTTCAGTGACAAACGATTTATCAACTCAGATAGAAACTGCCAGTCGTGTTAATACAGGTAAGGATAAAGCAGACTTATGAAAGTATGTCTAAACTTATTTTAAGGAATCTTTATTCAAAAGTGTTTTGTATATCTATTTGTTAATTTTAATCGACTGAGTATGTTACACAATAGAAATATCTATATTCTTGCTTTGAATGTAACGAGTGAACCACAACCAAATGAGATTTCTCCCTGTCTCTCTACTACTCGATGGTTTTTAAGAATATGGGATTAAATTATTGAGATAAAAAATTACACTTTCATGTTACGTATGAGGAGCCAAGAATTACTCTGATTCTAAATATTTAGATCCTTCACACTCTACATCTGCAAGTGTTCTCATCGATTCTATGAACATCAACAATGAACAGAATAATCCAAGGTCAAATGAACAACTTGTTTCTGGACCAAACGCATTGCTCAGTATAAGTCAAGAAGAATTATTGAATGCTACTGATATGGAACCAGTTGCTAGTTTGCCACAAGATGTTGATGATTTCGATAATCCCAATCGTGTTCGAATGAACGTGATTGCAAATGAATCTGGTATATAATTTTCTAAAAAATGTTATCTAAATTGTAAAATTCATTTTACTTTAATTAGGTGATTTAAGTGACGATGACGAAGAAATTGATGATGAAGGTGAAAATGGTGGTACAATCAATATTGAATTTGAAACAGAGGATTTAGGGAATCAACAAGGTTTGTAATTTTGATTAGAGCTTTAGAATTATTTGAAAAGATCGTGTAGGTGGTATTGTTACTGATATATCTACAAGTTTACTTTTTCAAAGATGTAATAATATGAAATATTTTCTCTCTGAACGATGGTCTTTTTTCAAAATAAGCTCCTATTTGCGCGTGTGACAATGCGGAAACTCTATTTTTCCCATAATGATAAAAAATTGATTTAAAAATTGTTTTATTGGAAATGCATATGGAGAGGGAAACTCTGTTGACGACTGTGAGAACAGTATTAGGCTTCTTTTTTTCACCTATTGTCAGACATACACACTTTTGTGAATTTCATAGTTCTTGGTATTATTTCTCTTTGTTAGTTGAAAAGTAGATAATCATATATGAACTTTTGAACTGTGCTGTATAGTAGTTTGGGCAAATATTGAAGTGGTAAATGCCTTTTATCCTTTTGAGTTTTCTTCACCATGAATAGTAAACAAGAGCAAGGTCCTATTAGTTCCGTTCAATGGCAGGACTTCATTAATAAATATTTTAATCATTGCACAGGCTCTCATTTCCTAACCTATCAAAGGCAAGACAAATTTGTATTTTTGTAGTGCTTTTAATTAGTAGGGTTATAGAACTTCGGAAGTCTTATTTTCACAGGTGGATCTTCACGTTTTGAAGTTTGGAATATGCCGCAACCAACATCGTCAAGTTCCTCAGGAACAACAAATGAGGACGAAAATGATGCAGAAGGTCTTGAAAGTCACAGTGACGAAGACGATATTGATATGGAAAGTGATAATGAACCGGAGCCACAACATCGATATAGCGACGACGATGAAGATTTAACAAGTGAAGAAGGAGATGAAATGCGTGCTGAAGGTGCGTAGAAAATGATACAGTTGTTGAAAATTAATCATACGACAACCAAAAATAATTTTTTTTACTATTTTGCCTATAACAGAAAGCCATACAAATATTCAGACTGTGCTATTAGTTACGATCATTATTTAATATTAGTAACGGTTTTTCAAGTAAACTACTTTAAAACACGATCGTATGCATAAGAATATGTTGTATTATTGATATGTGATTCATCTTTACTAAATGCAGTTTCGGTCAAAACATTAACTATATAAGATAAGATTTAATGCATGTTTTAGTTCCACCTGCGGTATCAACAAACGACGATGACCAAGATACGGACACCAGTACTGATGATACAAATACGGATGCAGAAGAAACAGCGATAGATGTGTAAGTTATTTGTGTAATCATTTGTTTGATCTAAAAACGCTAATATATCGTTATTAATAACTTTTTTTATTCTATTCTATTATGTTTCCACACATATTTGTACCATTAATAATTTATACTATTTCTGTACATTTTAGAGGTATTGAAACCAGTGGACCACCAAGTACAAGCACGGCTGGTGAACTTCCTGAAATAACAGCAGATGATGGTGCCAATAATGGTGATAATGCGGCAGTCAGTGTGAATGATGGCGACGAAGTTGATGATGATGATGAATCGTTTGGAGATGATGAAGTGCACGATAATGAAGATATTGAGGAGATGGTTGAACGGTAAACGTGTTGAAATTTTAAACTAACCTTGCAGACTGAGATTAATTTTCTAACAAATAATATAATAAAAAAAATAGTCGCTCAAAGCTTTTTTCTAAGTTTATTCAATTAAAAATGAATTATAAAGCATTCACACTTTGTTGCTTCGAAATAATTTTAGTCTAGTGTGGACGTAGCCACTGTAAATTACTATATTGTTTTTCTTTTTTTGCAATAAATTAAATACATTTGGTTTTAACATTTTAATGGTATAATTTATTTTTCGTTTAGTGACCTTCATTTCAATGAAGAAGATGAGGAAGAGGATGAAGACGAAGATGATGAGGAAGTAAGACGAAAGACTCGGAAACTTTTTGAGGTGCTATGACATTTATCTTTTTGCTTTTAGGAAGATGAAAGCACAGAATTTGAAGATGATGAGAATGACATAGTAGATTATGTAAATGATGTTGATATTGACGATGATATGTTGTCGGAGATACGAAATAATCTATTATCTCCAGGTGATATTGAACCAATATTATTACCAACAAATTTACAAGGTGTTCGAATACGTACAACAGCCTATCCGTCTATTCATGGCCTCACCGATTCTGCACCAGATCCAGCATTACCCCCACCACCAATGAGTGTTCCAGCATTACATCCTCTCTTAGTCCATCATAGTGATAATCAATTGAGTTCGGGAGCATTTTCACGTTTTCGTCAGTTGGGTGCTACAAATGGAACAACAACACATTTAACACAACAACCAACAAATCAAGCATCATTTAACGGTGCTACAGCGCAAGTTCCGAACGTTACTGCTGCGACCACGGCACTCACAGGTGCTGCTGCACTAGCTCTTCAGCAACAACAACAACAACAACCTCCAAGAAGTCGTACAACACGTAAGAGATTTTTTTATCAATTTTTTAAAGCTTTTATTTGAGTGTCATAATTAAGCAATATAAAAATTTGAGAGTTGAACGCAATATGCAGTTAAAAGCAGATTGGTAGTTTAATTGCCATGATGATTTTTTTAGGAAGAACTAATTAAAATTTCCTTGCTTAGGTACGTTATTCGTTCCCAATAGTGGTGGTATTCTTGGTCGAGCAGGTGGTTTTGCTGAATATTTACAACAAGTTGGTCAAATGGATGTTGATCCTTTTGCTGCTTCGGGTACAACAACAACAAGAATATTACTTGGATCAAGCGGACATGATTCCGAAACTTGGCGTTTTCTTCACGATCAAATATTAATGGATATGGCGCCACAAGCAAACGAAGGAAATGAAAATATTGATGGCACAAAAATTTATACGATTAGAACACCGTTAGCGCGATGGATGGAAGAAAGTCTCGTTTTAGATGGACCTTATGTACACGATACTGTTGCTGGTACGTTCACGCTAAGCCTGCGTTGTTTTTTTGCTTTATAAACTTGATATTCTTCATTTTAGCATTGAAGCCAAAAATTCTCGAGCCATTAGAAAAAACTTATGATACTGAAACACAGCTAGCACTAGCAAAAAAGCAAAAAGAAGAAGAGGAGAAAAAGAAGCGTGCTGAAGAAAAGGCGGCTAGCATAGCATCGACGTTAGCTGCTGAAGCACAAGTAACTACAAATGAAACAACGAGTTCATCAGCCGATACTACAGCAGTACAAACGACAGAATCGCAAAGTGAAACTCGTCCACCAACAATTATTGATGAAATACAAAGTCAACCCGTTCTTACTGTTCAATCTGAAACCCAACAAACGGTCACGCACGATCCGTCAATTCCAGTAACACCAACGTCTTCCTCAGTACAGCAACAGACAGCAACCACAGCGGTGACACCACATGGTAAGTAATTAGTTTCGTGGAATTAAATGGGCATTTAAAAGCATCCGTAGTAAAAAGCGGGAATTAAAAACAGTTTTTTAATATTTTTAATATTAGAGCGTTTCGCTCAAGACAAAATGATGGTCAAAAAATACTTTTTCCAAATCTTAACCGTTCGATTCTAAGAATAGATAGTTCCATTATTTTTAGAAGCAGCCCCGAAAAGGCGCAAGATTTCGAGTATTGTCTGTGGTATTTAGTAATTTGATGGTTTTTAGTTTTAGATGTTCCTGCTACTGCAGTAACCTCTCCGATTGAATCAATAGTCACAAACCAAGCATCACCCAGTGCACAAAATTCAATTAGTATTTTAGACGTCGTGCCTGATAGCGACCCCGTACTGACTAATAACACACCACCTGTAATAACAACCGCTGAACAAACATCGCTAATGGACGTAAACCCTCTTGTTCCATTAGAAAATACAGATCAAACAATACCACCTCCATCAACTGAAGTGTCAAATACACAAACAACAACAGTTGTACCTCAAGAAGAACCAGAAGTTGAATGGTAAGTAGTTAAGAAATTCTAAAACGGAAAAAATTCTATAAGACTTGTGTCCTTATTTCAAGGCAAACATTAGTATTTGATGGACGAGAGTTTCGTGTACCGCGAGTTTTAGAAATTGATCCATCATTTTTGGCTGCATTACCGGAAGGAATGCGTGAAGAAATTATAACCGATCAAATAAGAAATTTTGAACGACAAGAAAATGCACGGCGAGCAGAGAGAGCAGCTGCAGCTATCCCTTCCTCGTCGACATCTGGTGCTACAACAAATGGAGAGAGTGGAACAGTCCCTCCAACAGAAGATAACATTCCAACAGATGTGGTTGGAGAAATGTTTGGCGAAATTAATCCAGAATTTATTCAAGCACTTCCAGCTGAGTAAGTGAATTGATTTGACTCATTTAAAATTTTGTAGTTAAATTGATATCTCTCCTTACGTTTTTTAACAAACAAAATATGTTTAATAATATTCAAGTAAAAATATTTTGGCAAAGATGGCGAGCTTGTTTGTACAAGTATCAGCACTAGAAACACATCATGAGAATAGTGCGAGATGTGGAGGATTAAATAACCAAGACTGGTCAAATTCTAAACTAATTAAACGTTATTTTTTATTTTATCCTATGCTTATGTGTCCATTGTAGATTTCAGCAACTAAATCTTGTTATCTTTTTTTTAGAATTCAAGAAGAATTATTACAAGAACGAAATCGTACACGAGCTGTGTTAGCAGCAGCATCTGGAACTTCAGTCGATGTTGGACCAGCAGAATTTATTCGTACATTACAGCCACATTTACGACAACAAGTGTTAGCTGACATGGAAGATAGTCAGATAGCTGCATTACCAGATGATATAGCTCTTGAAGCACGAAGATTAAGACAAGCAATGGAAACACAACACAGTCAGTATCTACAAAGAAATAATTTTCTTGCTAGAAGTCAACATTTAATGACTTCTATGTTAACGAGTAGTAAGTCTACTTTCTTTATATAGAAGTTTCGTTTATTTATCATTCTTGACTATTTCTTTGTTCACATTTAGATGCACATCACGGTACTCGTCCAATTCGTATGTATAATTTGCGTGCGATACAAGAAGCACGTAATCGTGGTGAACGCGGTGGCACAAATTGGTATTCATTATCACGTGGTGGTGCTGGGGCGGCGAGTGGAACAGCAAATGATACAACTGGACTACGTGGAAGACAATTGTTAGATTATGAATCGATTTGTTGTTTATTGATATTACTGTTTATTGATGATCAACATTTAAATTTTCCACGTTTACAAAAGGTATTAAAAAATCTCTGTCATCATCCCCCTACTCGAGCATGGATAATAAAAGCTCTATTATCAATAATGAATAAAAGTACGGGTAAACCAGAATTTGAAATATCATCATCACGTACCACAACAACGTCCACCACTTCTTCACCTCCAGCATCAAATTCTTCTCTTACATCAACACCAGGGGCGCCAACATTAGTATTAAATATGGCGTCCGATAGAAACCGTTCATCATTATTTAGTTCGTCTACAGTACATCCAACAAATAGTAATCAACATCAACAATTACAAGATTCGCAATTAAAACTTATTAATCCATCTTGGTTAACAATTAATTTTGATAGTGCATTTGGTGCTAAAACAAATGTATTCAAAATACAACGTTTAGGAGTTAAACGAGGCGGACAAGTACAGGTTAGTTTTTTTTTGAAAAGGAATTAATCTTTAAAAGAATACTTTCTAAAACGGTACTCTATCAGATAGTTGACTACTTTTGGCCTATGCATAAGTTTTGTACAAAATGTCGAGTGCTGTTTCTTCATGTTCTCAATGTTCTGGTAAAATTTTACTGAGGCATATCAAGAAAATCTTTTCACTAGTGTCAAAAATGATCACTTTTTACTGAAACCAAATACATGAAAAATAGCTCGTGAATAGCTGTTTTTTGTAAAAGCGAGCTTTTTTGAAAATCGAGATTTTGCATCTAACATTTAGGGCTTTCAGCAGAGGCGTCACATAAAACAGGAAGTAGATGAGTTTAGATTTTATTTTACATAAGATTGTTAAAAATTGAATGAAGATCAAGATTTAGTTCAAAAATTGAAAAAAAATTCATCTGTTAATTTAAGAATTGGCAATTAATGCTAAATAATTGATTTTCTAACGGTGATCAGACAAGCGATTACTTCCTCACGAAAACCAAATAAAAAGAAAATGTATCGCACACTGTTCAAAAAGCATTTCAAACACTCTAGATGTAATAATCAGTCATTCTTCAAAGTTATCTTTAAACAAGAAAAGAACAGTTTTGAAGAAGATAGAGAGTGACCATTTTGACAATTTACCAAAACATTTTTAGTGATCTTTAGTTTTTGAATTTTTTGTTAATAAAGTTTTGCGAGAGAAAATTTTGTTTGATGCTCATTTTGTTGTTCAGACTTTGCTCTTTTAAACAAATAAAAAAGTGAAATCTCTAGAATAGTGTGAACATGAAGAAATAGCGCTCGACATTTTGTGCAAAACGTATGCATAGGTCGTTATTTCTCTGCTATAATTATTGAAAAATCATCATTTTTATATTCTTTGTATAGGTATCGGTCCATGCACAAGCGTGTCCAGTTGTTTGTCGACAAGTAATCGATGCATTGATTATATTAGCTAAAAACTTTCCAGAATATTTTCTTCCATTAACAAATTCTGAACAGCAGCAATTAGCTTTGCCATCACATACTACATCAACAATTGTTACTAATGATCAAACAAAATCATCAACTTCACCTGAAAAACAAGTTTCAACTATTCAGCAAACATCGACAGTCAAATCTTTATCTAATCGAGATATCTCATTCTGGGAATTATTATTAAAATTAGATCAAACATTTAGCAGTAGAATATCGTCGAATCGTCAATCATCAATAACTTCATCAACATTGTCTTCTTCTCATACATCATCTACTCCCACGCAACGAATAATTTCATCAATTGCACAACGTCCTCCTTTACCCATCTCAACTCCAATATCCATAACTACAAATGAAAATGATTTTGAATCATGTCCGTTAGCCGCACTCATGTGTATGTTAGATCATCCAATATTAAATAAAAATAATCAATTAATGGATAAATTATTTAAATTATTATCATTAATTTCACAAAGTTTTTATATACATATAACAACAAAAAAAGATATTTCATCATCGATACCACAAGCAACATCAACACCATTGCCATCAAATGCTGGTACTGAACAAAATCCATTAACGCAACTTCAACCACCCATTGTTAATGGACCATTAACAGAAGTTGTAGATGTGGCTCAAGTACCTGTCAGCGATGAACCAAATCCAACGCAACAACAACCATCACAATCTGCCCTAATTAATAATAAAATAATTGTATCAGATGATCAAGTCGTTTTAGGTAAACAACTCGATCTTGTCATCAAAGCATTAATATCAAAATCGTGTACAGAAGACGGTTTGGAATTTGCAACAATATTATTATTAAATGTTTCTAAGATAAATTTAGCAACAAGAGAAAAAGTTTTACATTTATTATTAGATGGTATTCGTTTATTGGGAAAAAATGTTAGCAAAGAAATAAGGTAAAGAAAACTAAATTGATTTTAATACAATTTGTTGACGAAGACTAATATCAAATCTCACCTTTACTTTTATTTTTTAGACAACTTCATTGGGAAGTGCAAGATTATTTGTCAAAAAATAAATCAGTCGACGATGAAAAGACGTCTGAACAACCACAGCACCATACGTCTGATGAATCATCTTCATCCTCAAATCTTTTTGAACGATACAATAATAATCGAAATATTACACATAGTGGATCAACGACAACGTTAAACGCGACAACTACTGCATCGACCAAACAACACGATTTACAATTGCCTGCTATGATTATGTTAACATCCAAAACGGCTAATCAACAGTTTTTATTACGTATATTAAAAGTTATTATACAATTACGTGAAGCAAGAAAAAAAGATCAGTTGGATCAACAACATCAATTTGATCAAGAAATTCAAGTATTAACAAGACGTTTAGATAATTTAAGACAATCATTACGTATATTATCAACTGCTAATACATCTACTGAAACACCAACAACAGAAAACAATGTAGACACACTTGTACATGAAACTCAACCAATTGATGAATTAGGACAACGTTTAGAGCATATGCGTACACGTTTAACGACGTTTATGAATAATTCAAATTCACAGCATCAATCTATCCTTCAAAATCATGAAACAATTCATGATGTACAAGATATGAGACGTTTATTAAGACAATTAGAAAATGTTGTGGATGAATTTAATGCACCACTATCGAATGCAATGACATCACGTTTAAATGCTGCATTGAATGATATACCAACCAATGCCATCTCAATAACTAACCAAGCCTCTACTACAGAAACACAACAGCCAAGTACTACGACAACCACAACCGATGCAATGGAAATTGGCGATCAAAATGAATTAAGTGCAACAAAAAAAGCACAATTACAACAATCAAAATTAAGTGAATTATTAAATATAAATGAATTGTGGGATGCTTTAAGTGATTGTCTGACGGCATTATCACAATTACCCGATCCACATGCTGTACTTGTATTACAACCGGCTGTTGAAGCATTTTTTATTGTACATGCAACAGATACCGAACGAGAAACAGAAAGAGATGATAAAAAGAAAAAGGTTTGAATTTATAGTCTTTTATATCAAAATTATAAAAATAACAATTAATTCATAACTATCCTTTTTTTTGTAGGATCGTCAACCAAATGAACCAATGGCTCATTTAGAATGTTCGGGTCCAGCAGCATCAATGACTCAACCACTGGATGAACCACAATTACCTACCGTTCCAATTGTTGAGTCTGAAGCAACTAACACTATTTCAAAACCAGCGTTTGTTAGTCCTACTTTAGTCTTAAAAACACCACCACAACCAGCTGAATTACCACCGGATGCACAAAAATTTCTTAATTTTGCTCGTACACATCGTACAGTATTAAATCAGATATTAAGACAAAGTACACAACATTTAAGTGAAGGACCATTTCATATCTTAACAGATTATACAAATATATTAGATTTTGATGTTAAACGAAAATATTTTCGTCATGAATTAGATCGTTTGAAAGATAATATGCGTGGCGAAGATTTAGCTGTACATGTTCAACGACAACATGTTTTCGAAGATTCGTATCGTGAATTGAATCGTCGCGCACCAGAAGATTGGAAACATCGCTTATATATTGTATTTGACAGTACGTTTCTTTATGAATTTTAAAATTGAAAAAAATATTGATTACATTTGATGTTTATTTCTTTTAGGTGAAGAAGGTCAAGATGCTGGTGGTTTATTGCGTGAATGGTATTCAATAATAGCTAAAGAAATGTTCAATCCCAATTATGCGTTGTTTATGATAAATCCGGGTGATCGTGTAACCTATATGCCAAATCCATTATCACATTGTAATACAAATCATATTAGTTATTTTAAATTTATTGGACGTATTATTGCTAAAGCTATTTTTGATAACAAATATATGGATTGTTATTTTACTCGAGCATTTTATAAACATATTCTTGGCATACCCGTTCGTTATACAGATATGGAAAGTGTTGATTTACAATTTTATAAAAGTTTAGTCCTTCTATTAGAAAATGATATTAATACACTTGGTCTGGAATTAGCATTTAGTTTAGATGTTAGTGAATTTGGTGTAAATAAAACACATGAATTGATACCAAACGGTTCAAATATAGTTGTGACAAATGAAAATAAACATGAATATGTTCGATTAGTGTGTCAAGAAAAAATGATTGGATCCATACGACAACAAATAAATGCATTTTTAGACGGATTTTATTCAATTATACCAAAAAGTTTAATATCAATATTTAATGAACAAGAATTAGAACTATTGATATCAGGTATGACTGACTGCTGGTAGAAAATATAAAATAAATTTTAATTTATTATCGTTGTCGAACTTTTTTCATTTAAGGTTTACCGGATATTGATATTGAAGATTTGAAAGGAAATACAGAGTATCATAAATATCGTCCAAATTCGTTGCAGGTATTGTATGATAAAAACTCGAACTGAATATAAGAAAGAAAATAGAATATGATCAGACGTTTCTTTTATGAAAAAAGAGAGTTTTTTACTTCATTCTATTACAACAGACAAATACAGTTTGTTTCCATTTATTTTCTAGATACAATGGTTTTGGCGTGCATTACGCTCATTCGATAAAGAAGATTTAGCTAAATTTTTACAATTTGTTACTGGTACTTCAAAAGTGCCATTACAAGGTTTTGCACATTTGGAGGGTATGAATGGTCCACAAAAATTTCAAATTCATCGTGATGATCGTTCAACCGATCGTCTTCCATCAGCACATACATGGTAAGTGGTATTATAGATAAGAATTCATTAAAATTCGATTATTAAATATATATTTTAATTATTTTAGTTTTAATCAACTTGATCTTCCTGCATATGAAAGTTATGATAAACTTCGTGGCATGTTATTAATGGCAATACGTGAATGTGCCGGATTTGGTTTTGCTTAATAACTTGTTTTCTTCTTGACTGTTCTTTTCTACTGGGCTTTTCTATCATCATTAATACAGATAGCTGTCTTTCGTTTTTTTTGTTATGATACTTCTTTCTCATATCACACACTCTTGTTATTTCTATTTTTTTCCAAAAACATGTAGTTGAAGCGTAAGATTCAGACAGTGAACTCTCTTAAATTAATGCCGGTCGTTTTTTTTTTACATGAAAAAACTGAATATCTCTCTCTTTATTATTGTTATTTTTATTTCTTCCCTTTTCCAAATGCATTCCTGCTGTTTTTAATTATTGCGGTATTTTGGTCCGCATTATTATATAAACATTACTCTTATGGCCTATTTTTTGGTTGTATACACAGGCATAAACATTAACATTATAGCAGATCAGAGTTATTGTTATTGTTGCTTTTTACTTTCATTCATGTCGATTACGTTTTTTTCTTCTGAATTGTGTGTGTGTGTTCTCTGTCTTTATATTTTATCGTAAGATGTAAATAAATAAGAAGACACAGAATTCACTTGTGCAGCTTGAAGGACGTCATAATCTTTCTTACAATCAAACAAAAAAAAATCAAACTGAACAAGATGAAAAATAATTTTATGCAAATGGAGTTTTATTTACATGTAAAATTGGGTGGATGTTGGTAAGGACATGAGGAGTAGTCTCAATTAAATTTATTTTACAAATTTATTATATTTATAATAAATTCTTGTGTTTTCTGGATTACGATATTCTCTTCGTAAAAAGCCGCCTCTAAAATTTTTATTCATATTCTACTTTTCGTTCACTACTTTTACAATTGTTGTTGTACTTTTACGCTTTTGAGTTTGAATTTGTTTTGAAATAGGTACTAAGTATGGTATATTCAAATGCGAGAAGTTCAATAATTTTTCTGTCAACAGAGAAGTGAAAAAACTAAATCCAAAATTAGTTGGAGACTGATACTTTTTTAGTATCAGCTGCCTGCCAGTAATGTACTCATATAATCGAAAAGAACCGATATCGCTCGTTGTGTAAACAAATTCTCTACACTAAACTACATTGTTCTTAAATAATAGTGTTATTTTGCCCTTACATGTTTTCTTTTTCATTCTTATTTACTCTACGGTTTAGATTAAAGCCCTTGGTTTCAATGTTAAAATAAATTTTGACTAAAACCCTGCTGATAATCTTATCAAATATCTTGAGTCTCTAATTGAGGTACTGCTAAATTGCTGTTGTACTCTTCCTGGAAAAGAAAGTATACGACAACAGAAAATAATGTTAATAAAGGTCTAGTCACATCTAATATATATGTTATTTTCGTATTTACATGTATGTAATTGTCTTGTAAGCTAGATGAAATGAATTATGGATCCGAACTTTTGTTAGTATCAACTATTCTTCATGTGCAGAATAATCTGCTCGACATACTGAAATAAAATCGATTAATAATTATACATACACAATTTTACATCAATCATTTGAGAATAAATAATTTAACAACATATCGATAAAGATAAATGGAAATTGAGGTTGTTACATGACGGAGCAGAATTGTTTGCGGCGAAGCTGAGTGAAAAATCATTTCCCACGAGATTTTGTAGTCTTCCATAATTTAGTCATATTTTCTGCACTGCAACGAAAAATTTATTATGTATTCGTTTTTATTTTTAAGACATGAGACAGCAATCAACAAATACTGATCATTTATTTATTTCGCTAAGATAACACTAATGATGTTACAATAACATAACAATTAAATCTCTACTATTCACGTTTCGAACGATATACAAATTAGCTAAATTTATAGATTAGTCATTGGTATAAGTATAGTTCTTCTCTTCTTATTTAAATCTCCAGCGTTACTATGTACTCATCTCTTTACAATGATCAGAGAAATCTATTTATTTATCAACATTCATGTCCACAGTAGTTAATTACTTACTAAAAAAACGAGCTTGAACGTTAGATTACATTAACACGTTTATTATCACAAAAAAAAAATAATTATAAATTTCAAAAGAAGCATTTTTTTATTTGAAAATTCAAATCTAAGTTGCTTTAGACAATCTTTATTGTTATTAAATACATTTTTCGTTTATACTTGAGTGTATTATTCGTAAAACTTTATTTTCATTTATCTGTTTTATTGTTATTCTATTTGTTCTACGTTCGTACGACTGTTTTGACGTCTTTAACTTTCTATTTTACTAAAAGAAAATACCTGTGTTTTACTTACTTCATATACCCATGGGAATAAAATTTTCATTTCTTCTAACGCATAAGGTAAGAGAAGACTGTTTATGATACGTCAGTAAGGGAGAAATAACTATTTGTGAAAGTAACAGGACTTACTGTAACAATGAATATGAGAAATTTGCTAATGAACGATGTGTTAACGTTCTCCTCTTTCTCGCATATACTTTGCTATTTAAAATTTCTATCATTCTGTAAATACTGATCTGTTGGTTGTAAAAGTTTATTGACATGGATAAATCAATGTAAAACTGAAACTGTCGAAAATTAGTTTTTCGAAGTATATTTTTTATGTCTGAGCTCTGGATATTCTGAAAGGGCTTACAAACCGAAACGAATAGCAAAGTCGTAATCAGTATCATAAAAATGATCATGAATCTGCATGAAAACGAATGCTGATGATACCTTGAATACATAGTCAAAATTATGTACTTCCTTTACAGTTTATTTGTCACCTTTTACTGAAATCTCAAATTTGTTTGTTATTTCTTATTAATAAAAAAAGATAAGTTTAAAAGAACATCGCGTTATAACTGTTTTCACGTATAATACATTTGAAGAAAAAAAAAATGAACTGATAAATAGAAAAAACAAAATAAAACCGAAGTAGATAAATACTTATGCTACATCAGTAATGAGACAAGTTCGTCGAATAAGAATAAGAGTATATTACAACAGAGAGAAAACCGTTTGGTTTGAAAAAAGCACAGCACAAAAGGGAAATTAACATTAATAGATAAGAAAGAAAATTCCACTGTGCAATTATACGTCGGAGCAAAAGAATCGCTGATCAATTTCAAGTATGATCATTCAAAGATACTCTTGAAAAATAAGGCAATTACAGAGCGGAAGACGGTACTGTTATAAGTCAAATGCTTCTCTAAGAAAAACTAACACGTTATGTTGTATAAACAGTCTATGAGCGTGATAATAAAAAGAAGATAAATAAAAGATTGAAAATGTGCATGAAAAACTACGCTGGTTTATTGAAACTCCATTTTAACAAGCACATCCACCTGTTTTTTTCGCCTGTTCTTCTTCCTGTGGGATTCTAATTCTAAAATATGCAAAAACCAGTGAATTGTAACCAGTGCAGTGGGAGATTCAACAAAGAACTTACGGTGTTGGAAAATCTGTGTATGAATCCTGTTCTTTTTCTCGTGCCAATGCATTTCTGGCAACTGTTTCGAATGATTTTTCAACATTGACGCCCTCTTTTGCACTTGTCTCAAAATATGGAATATTGTTCTTGTCTTGACACCAGCTTTGAGCTTTTCGTGTTTGAATCTGGAGAAAAACAAAGTGTAAATATCTCAGAGCAGAAAGCGGCATATTGGGATTATTGCCGTACATCCTGTAGCAAACAAAGCGAAAAGTTACAGAACGTTTGCTGACAAATACGACGAAATAAGAGCAGAACTTTTAAACAGTTTTGAAAACTGAAGAAAAAAAACTGACCGATCGATTTTCAAGGTCAATTTTATTTCCAATAACGACAAACGGAAAGTTTTCTGGATCTCTAGGACCGGATTGTATAAGAAATTCATCTCGCCAGCTTTCCAATGACTTGAAACTATTTGGAGCTGTCACATCATAGCATAACACACAACAATCAGCGCCTAAAATAATGTAAATCATAATAGAGTACCAGGCATTTAATAGTATAGAACAAACAAAATGCTTACCACGGTAAAATGCAACACCTAAACTTTGAAAACGTTCTTGACCAGCTAGAATAAAGAAAACTTAGTTAAAGATACTACTGTACACAAAACACTAAATGACTTTACCAGTATCCCATATTTGCATTGTTACTAAACGATCATCAATTTGTATTTCTTTTGTTAAAAAGTCGGCACCAATTGTTGCTTTATATTGGTTTGTAAATTTTCGATTTACAAATTGATTCATGAGCGATGTTTTACCAACTCTAAACGAAACGAAGAACGAGAAGTTACGTAAGGTTGAATTTGGAAAAAGTTGGATATAATACGTACCCACTGTCGCCCAAAATAATCACTTTTAAAAGTACTTTCTTACGAGAGGTCATGTTTTGAATATCTAACATAAATGAGAAATACAACAGGTTAGTTCAAAATAGTAACTATCTAGAGATGGACAATTAGAGAGTATGCTCGACTTATGTATCTGCCATTTTACATATAGAGCAGTAGAATAACTTGCACAACCACTTAGTTGTAGAAAAACTATGTGTACTAGCAGTTGCTGTACTGACTTCGAAAAACTAATTTGAATTTAAATAACAAAACATTTTGTTAAATAACTTTATGTCTTATGTACTAACCTAAAAAGTTATTTTTATATGAATAATAGAGAGGTATGACGAAAATAAAAAGCACAGCAATAATACTAGTATCAAAGAACGGAGTCAGTCAGTTGATGCGAGACACGTTAATACAGAGGACTGCCTTTTTTTTTCTTTCTTTCTCTTCTTTCTGCGAGAAAATTCATGAACAATAATTTGACGTCTTCAGACAAATAGAAACACGTTCTTAATAACGTTGATGGAGGCCAGATGTTGTACGGATGGCAATATGACATTATTAATGGATCATAAAGAAAACAAGATCTGAAAATCCCGGAAAGGTCACGGATATGTCCTATCACTGAAATCTGTCTTACCCTAGTCGAGACTCCCGGCAAAACTTCAACGGGAGTCCCAAGTTTATGAAAAACTCCAGCAGGAATCGTAAGGAGTCCTGATGACTCTCGCAGGAACTTTCTAAAGTGAAAAGTCCAACATGGAGTCATGAGGAGTCCCAAA